TCAGCAGCAGGTGAGGTTGAATGTTGCACTTTTGAACATGTGTGCTGCAGCTTTCCAGGTCCGGACAGATGTACCAGCCTCTTCGCACCCCCCCTTTTCTAGGCGTGATGAGCCTGTAGATGCATGCACGCAAGCGGCTGCTTTCTGGACTGACCGAGCACCGCAGCCACATCCCCCCGCGGCCTTGGAGGAGAATCTGCAGCGCTGGTGGTGATGCCCCAGCCCATTGCGCCGGTCCCCGCACTGTGCTCCTGACTGCTCGGGGCTGCAGCTCGGGAGCTTTCCTGGCACTCTCGCACTTCTGTCAAATGCCCTTTTTGGAGCTATTTTTAGCAGGCGGCGATCCTTGCAGCCGTTGCATCATCGTGGAAGGGGCGCAGGCAGCCCCTGTCTGACTGTGCCGTGACAGCAGGCCTCGCTAGCCGGAGCCGTCTGTGCTGGGCAGAACCGGGGAGCAGCACATGGGAGCGCGTGGTTTGTGCTCCTCGAGCCTGCCACCGGTCACGCTCCTGTCTGTGAAGCAGTCTGGCTAGGCATCCGCAGAGCTGGGAGCTTCCCTAGCCCGGCAGCTCGTCGGCAGTGCATGCAGGCAGCTCTGGCAGCATCGTGCAGGGGATGGAGGCCACGGTGCAATCTCCCTGCCTCATCTCTGGAAACCAGCCTGCCTACAAGCTTTCAGCTGTCATGCCGGGCACTGACACATTGGTGTTTCTGTGTGGCAGAATACGTAGAGGAAAGGGGGATGTGTGTGTTTTTGCATGCACATACATGTGCTCCTACGGGCCCCTCTCATAGCGGTGGATTGACGCTTCAGCTCCAAGGAGCACGCTGCTGCCTGCTGCGTGACATCCGTGTCCCTTCTCTTCTGGGACGCTCCTTTCCAGGCAGAAATGCAGTTGCCCCCAGCCTGTTTGTGAGAGTGGCCAGCGCCTGCTGCTGCACAAAGGACTGTATGAAGGGGCACTTGTGGAAGGGAGCCCCTGTTTAGCAGCTGCAGTGTGCCGGGGGCGGGGTTCTCTCCCATGAAATGCAACAGTGGGTGTTTGCAGTCATGTCTTGCAAATCCAAGTCTTTTATGCAAAGTCATATCTTGCAAATCCAAATCTTGCATGCAAATCTTAATGTGTGTTTGTGCATGTATGTGCAAGAGAGACTGCAAGGGGCTTCCCGCTACACGAGACTAGTGGCACTGACACCCGGGCAGCTTTGCCAGGGTCGTTCTGCAGCCCCCTCTCTTCCTGGCCTTGCTGGGGTGCAAAGCATCCCTGAACTTCCAACAAAGACTCCCAAATGTTCTTTGATATTTGAAGTCAAATAAACCTGGAGGAAAGTGGAGCCTACAGTGCCTTGATGCACCTAAAGAAGTCCCCAGCAGGGTCATGCTCCCCTCCCCACCCCTGTAGAGCTGGCGGGGGGACGTCGTCTTGCTGGAAGCTGCTGCGCGAGCTGCCGGCAGGGCTGCTGGTGAGTCAGCACATCCCCGCCAGCAGCTGCTCTGCTGGGTCAGAGCGGGCTCTCTCTAGTCCTTGCCGTGTCTGACAGCCGCCAGCCGCAGATGCTCGAGGGGAGTCTGGTTGCTTCCTCGGAGTGGGCTTCCCAGTCACTAGCCGCCCCCGGGGAAGCTTTCCTCGTAGGTGACCGGTGGTTTCTCCGCACTCCAGGCTTGACTCGTGGCCTTGGTATCCCACGGACGTGAGCAACCCGCACCCATCCCAGCAAGAGAGAGGAGTGGCTGCTCGTCTCCCCGTCGCTGTCTGCTGCACTTGAATCCTGGCTGATTTGTAGAGAGTCTGTGTGGGTTTCTCCTGGGAGCCCAAGGGGATTAGGCACCCGTAGGTCACCGGATTCTAGGGGGAAGAGGGCAGTCGTCTCCCTTTGCTCCAGCAGATGGGTTGGGAGTTTAACCCCCCTCCACACTGCAGCTAAACCGCCCGGGGCATGGTGTGTCCAGCTGGGTGACTCCTGGCCTCCAGCCAGCCTCTGCAGTGTATTTCCTCCTGTTCACCAAGCCCCTGATAAACCACAGGCAACCAGAGACGTGGCTGGGAGAGGAGGAGTTCCCCAGGCGGCTCATAAATACGTCTCCCGGCCGGAGCACAGCGCTTGAGAGCTCTGCGCCTCGTCTTGCCAGCGCGTTGCAGGTGCTAATTAGCGGAGAGGAAGAGTTATGCTGCTGCATTGTCCGTGCCGCCTGTGCGGGAACTGCGGCGGTACCTCCCGGTTCGCTGGGAGCCTTGTGGCCTGCCCACGCTGCCCCAGGTCTCGCTGCAAACGCAGCTCGGTGCTCGCGCTGCAGAAGAAAGCAGTCGCTCCCTGGTGCTTCTGCTGCGTGGGCTTCTCCCATCTCTGTGCAGGCTCCAGTCAGTGTATCCAGACTTGGGGAGGCAGCCTGGCGCGCTCTGCTCACCATCATTGCATGTTTGGCTGGGGCCGGGGGCTCTGCCTGCCTTGCATACGCTCCCGCCTACACCTGGATATCAAGTGGGGGAGCCCTTATCAGAGATGAGCTGGCTCCACTGGGTTGGGGGCACCCTCGGACATGTGCGTGACCCTTCCCCTTCTGCAACATTGGGAGTGGGCACAAGCTTTGCCCAGCGTCCCCGGACCACCGGCTTCCGAGCAGGCACATTCGTGTCTGCAGAGCTCTGCTCTGAGCTGACTCATTGCTGCTTACGGCTTGGTTGGGTAGTGCAGGTGCAAGGGCGCCCGCAGTGCTGGCCCTGCAGTCTCGCTGCCCCAGTCCCCTGACCCAGGGAAGGCTGGCTGTGGGCCACGGCTGCATGCAGCTGTGCCCCAGCTGTGCTGGGACTCCCCCAGGGTCAGTCCGCTGCCTCGCACACCCCTTTAGGGCTTCCCTTTCCCCTTCCCAGGAGGGGCTCAGCTCTGCCCCACTCCTTCTGTGTCCCATGAGCTCCCCGGGACCCTTGCTACGAGGTTTATCTTTGCACCGCCGATTACTCCTGACCCGTCTTGGCCCCTGGGGTACAAAGGAAGTCGCCTCAAGCTTCCAGCTAGGGGAACGAGGAGAATAACCAGCATAAATCTTACAAGGCTGCCAGGATCAGCATGGCAGCATCCCGGCTCCCAGGCTGCCTCTGTCCCTTGCAAGCATGCGCTTCCCCCCGCGCGCACCCGTGCATTGCAAGGGCCGTGCCACATAGCTACTGGAGCGTGCGAGTGGCCTGGTTTTCTGCGGTGCCGCCGAGCCTCCGCCCCTGGAGCATCGGCAAACCAGGCCGCGGGGTCCTGCTGGCGCGCGAGGTGACTTTGGGAGCTATATTTAGCTGGTTTCGTTTGTGGGCATGGAGCAGAGCAGCCAGGGGCTGCTGACAAGCGATTCCTCTGCGCCCAAAGCTGCCCCAGGCTCCCCTGTGCGGGTGCTGGGGCTGTCTGAGGTTGGACAGGTCCCAGGGTATGGAGTTGAAGCTTGTTCCCTGTGAAGTGCCCGCACTGGAGGGATTCGGCAGGGCAGCCTCTGCTCTACAGCTGTTGCTTATGGAGGCCTCAGCCAGGCTTGGAGCCGGGGACTTTGGCTGCTCAAGTGACTCGCCAGCTGCAAGGCCCAGCCAGGAACTGTCTTGATCCTGCACTGAGTCCACCTGTCCTGTGCAAGAGATCAAAGGAGCAGGATCGGTGGTTCTGCTCTGCCACCTGGCACCCCTTTCCAATAACTATCTGGTTTATTGCCTCCTCCGCCCTCCTTCATGACGGCTTTGAACTAACCCTGTCCACCCATCACGGCAGGACTCCTTGCTCCCTTCTGGAGCATGTGGCAGCCCCACCATGAGGCTGGTTTTCCCCTACGTAGCAGGGGCCATGCTGCGGTCTCTGCATGGCAGCATGCAAGCTGGCTTTGCTGTTCCTGACTGCCTCCTCCTGGATGCTGACCTCGATGTTTTGCAGGGAAGAGCAGTCATGGGACAGGGACGCCGGCTGCTTATGATGCTCGCTGCATGTGCAGTGTGAGGCTGTGCCAAAGCTGTAGCCAGGGTATAGCAGAGCAGCACAGGGGCAGGTGCTGGCAGAGAGGAGAGATGTGGCTATTGGAAATGCATCTGTCCACACACACACGTGTGTGCGCGCGCGCGCACACACACACACCTGTTCACAATTGCACGCCACAGACCCCGTTGATATGAGCAGAGGGGGACCTGCCTAAGGGAAGCCAGCCACCAACTCACTGCAGCTGCTAGATCCAGCAGACGCCGCTGTCCCAGGAGACCTTCCCCGTTTGGAGATGAGAAGTACTCAGGTGCACGAGACTCCCGGATAGGAAGCAGCAGGGAGGAGGAAGGAAGTGGGACACGAAGTCACGTTGCATGCAGCAATCCAGGGGCATTCGAGCGATGTTGTTACCAAGCCTGGTGCGGGGAATCTGCGTGCACGCCCAAGCACTCTCTGCCTTACGTTTGGGTGTGATCCAGGGTCTCCTTTCAACGGGGCACGGATAAGCAAGGGGCTCTTGCACCTCGAGGCAGTTACCTAGTAAAAAAAAAAATACTTCCCCAGGGCTACTAAAACCCGTGTCACGTGGTTGCAAGAGTCTGGGGTCCCCTGTGTGGCTTGCCAAGTTCGTACGAGCCCCCTTCGACGAGCAAGCTGGACCAGGGTGCGTCTCGGTGCAAACGGGCTTCCCAGGGCACTTGCTGCGGGGGGGTGCAGTGCCTGTCGCGCCTTCCCCAGCACGTCTCGCCGTGCAGAGGTGAAGCCATTTGCAGATGGTTGCTCGGTCTCCCACGGCTCTGGGTGACGTCTTGCACAGCTCGTGGGAGCAGCGGTTGAACTGTACGGACTCGGAGGAGGAGCGATTTACGGGCTACGCCTGGGGCCCAGAACCGCTGGAAGGCGCGGGGTAGAGCAAAGCTGGAGGTGGAGCTAAGCCTGGCGCGGAGGGGCTCGCCACACGGATGAAGCTTCAGCTTTGACTTCAGTGCCCCGTCGCTCCTTTCTCAGTACCAGCGATTGCAGAGACACGGGGGCAGGTGCTGGGAGCAGGCTGTTCCTGGCATCCTTGCCTCTGTGTTATGGGAAGGAGGGTGTGTCTGCCCGGCAGGTGCCTGGGGAAAGCCGGGAGAGGTCCTCCTTCCCCTGGTGCTCACACCCAGGCAGCCAGGCCTTGTAATTAGCTGTGTTATGCTAATGTCATGCTGTGGTGGGAGCTGCGTATGCCCCGTGCTCGGCCCTGGCTATCGAAACAGGCCAAGGGGGTAGGAAGGAAGCTGGGGATTGCTGTAGGGTCACGGGGGTGGGTGCAGACTCCCCTACGTTACAAAGGAGATGGAGACACAGGCCAGACCCAGGAGCTCAGCTCGGCTCCAAAGCCCTTTCTCTTCCATCCTGGCCACGGCTTTGATGCTCGTTGTCCCAGGCAGGCCGGGCCCCGCGCCGCCTGCCCCTGGCAGAAGTGACCGTTAACAACTTCCCTTCCTCTGCGGAGCCACAGAAGCAGGAAGATCCCGCAGCGGTTGCTCGATCTGCAAATGGGCTGCGACCACCACGCTTCCTCCACCCACCCTTGGTGCACAGAGAGACCAGCCGGTTCTGCTGGGAGGTGGGGGTGACTTGCACGTGGTATCGCGTTGGGGATGGAAACTGGCAAGTCAGCCCCATTTCCTCCAGGCAGAGGTAGTCTGCTCTGCTTTAGCTTCCCCCTGCCCCGGGATAGGAGCAGGCACACGCTGGGGCCGTGCGTCGGCTGTTCCACATCCCATCCTTAGTGTTGGTGTTGTTCGTCTCTGCCCACCTCCTCCAAGGCAGTGGGGTGTGGATTTGGTGGGGCAGCCCTACCCGCTCTCCTCCCGCCCATCCCATCCTTAGTGTTGGTGTTGTTCGTCTCTGCCCACCTCCTCCAAGGCAGTGGGGTGTGGATGTGGGGGGGCGCCCCTCCCCGCTCCCCTCCCGCCACGGGCCGACCTGGCTTCATACCCCACCGGCTGGTTGCTGCCTGGGCCAGGCTGGCCGAGGGCATGTGGGACCACGTAGCAGTCCAGGGAGAGCCACGTGTTCCTCACTGGGAGCACTCCTGCTTGCAGCAAGCCTCGGTCGGGCTTTGCGGACAGCACGTTAAGGTGGCGTGGTGCCTCGGAGCTGGCAGGATTTGTACTGGTCAAGCACAGTACAAGAGGGGGCCCAGGCACTTCTCTTTCCCCTTGGCCCTGCTGTGCTAAGGCTGAACCGTAGCATGGCCACACCTGCAAGAAGTGCCAGAAGCTGGCATAGCTGGTGCTGAGTCTGCCATATGGTTTCTTGAGGCTTTTCAGGACACTGCTTGGTCCCGTGCACCGTGCTGTATGAACCTAGTAAGTGCCATGCTGCTAGGGGAGGAGGATACCTGGCCAGTGCTGCCTCTCTCGGGTCGTCTGCCTGCCAGCGCAACCCCAGAGCCATCCCCCTCCGGCTGCGTGTCCTAACACTCATGTTCTTTGCCTTTGCAGAGCACTCGACGCCTGCCAAAGTGGTGAGGGCTGCGAACCCGAGACAGCGGAAGGGAAGCAAGGTACGTCTTGCCCTCCACCCACCCCTGCTTCTGGGTGTCTTAACCAGCCTCCTTCAGCCAGGCATTCAGTATCTCTATTGCAGTCCTAGCCGGGCCCGGATGCGATCGGGGCCTGCGGCGCTAGGTGCAGCACAGACAGGCGGTAAGGGCCGAAATAATACAGGAGGGGAAGTAACATGCCCAAGGTTGCACAGCTGGGAATAGGCCCCCATGTGCTGTCCTGCCCATGGATCGGTGCCCAGAAGCACTGCCGTCCCCCGAGAGGCTGTTTCCCTCCTTTCTCTGCAGGCCTGAACAACGGGTGCTCCTTGCTGCCACTGGAGCCTCTGGGAGCAACCCTGGTCCGTCACAGCTAAGCTAGGCGAGTTGAGGCGCTTAATGGAAATACTGTAGTTCCTTGCAGCGTAGATGGGACAGACTTGTGGAGTCGGGGCAGCAGCGTGATGGAGAGCGTGGGGGGAAGCGCATCAGCCTCTCCTCTGGCTGGGCCCGGCTTTGCTAATTTTTAAGGCAGAGGCCACGTTCCTGAAACCTGTGAGCCGGCTGCCGTGTCCCAGCACTGAGACCTCACCGCTGTCAAAGAGGGGACAGGGAGCTGGGCCCACCCCTGGAGGTGCTTAAAGCAAAACCCTCCCTCGGGGCAAAACGCAAGGAGCAGCCTTGTAGTCAACCACCTGCTTGACTATCTGGCCTGTCTTGCCTTGCTCGTGGAGGGGTGCCTGGCTGGGCACTTGCATTGTGTCCTCTTTGCCCCTGTCCTTGGAAGCGCCGTGCTCCCATCCCATGGCTGCAGCCTGCCTCTTGCTCCTGGCAAACACCAGGCTGAACCAGAGGGAGTGGGGAGCACTGAGCGCCTGCATGAAGGGCCCCAGAGACCAAATAGCTGCATAGCCAGGTTCAAAAGGGGACTGCATACGTTCATGGGTGATGGGTCTGTTACTGGCTGTCGAACAGCATGGCTAGAGGTGCTTCCCTTGGCATCTCTAACCCTATAGCAGTGGTTGCCAGGGAGGGTATTGAATAGGGCATGCTTCCCTTGGCATCTCTAACCCTATAGCAGTGGTTGCCAGGGAGGGTATTGAATAGGGCATGCTTCCCTTGGCATCCCTAACCCTATAGCACTGGTTTTCAGGGGAGGTATTGAATAGGGCATGCTTCCCTTGGCATATCTAACCCTATAGCAGGGAGGGTATTGAATAGGGCATGGATTGCTAGAGCTATCCAGTTCAGTGGTCCCTGTTCAAGGGGGGACACAGAGCAGAGCACACTGGACAGGGCCCATTGCCCCTCAAATGAGTCCAAGGAGCCAGTGGATGCTGCCTAGTGAAACTGCCCAGAGACAGGATTGCACCAGGGGCAGGAAGGTGGTCGTCAGGGGTCAAAGCCTCCATCGTGGTGAGAGAGATGGCTGGGCCAGGGCCAGGACTGGGCAAATGGACCACTGGTCTGACCCAGCGCGGTGCTGCTGATGTTCTTCGTCCCAGAAATCCATTCCCAAGGAGCGCTCTTGCGTGTGTTGGGACGGGCGCGAGAGGGCGGGATAGAGACCCGTGCCAGCCTCCCTGCTCTTGGGTTCGGTAGCGCTGTGGCCGAGGGGCCCTGCAAGCGCCGGACACGAGGTGGCGCCAGCTGCCTTCGCTGAAACAGCTGGAGGAGCAAGGCAGGAGGCTCCGGGGCTCTGCCCAGCAGCTGTGCGGCAAATCAGTAGGATGTCGGGGCTCCTTTCCAGAGACCCAGTGCCTGCAAAGGGTCTGACAGTCCTAGAGCAAACGTCCTGGCCAGCAAAGCAGCGACTTGAGAGGCCTGGAGGAGCTCAATAGGCCAGGGAGGCTCAGTGTGTGATAGCCAGGAGTGGGAAGGAGCTGGTATTGCTGGCCCCCGCCTAGCCCACAGCTTAAGGGATGTGAGCAGTAGCTGGGTTGAACCTGGAGCGAGGGCACGGACATCTGTGGCTTCAAGACGTCTCATTAGAGATGCGTTTAAGGGTTACGTGTCTTGTGGCTTCGGGGCATCAACCAGCCTGGGTTGGCCTGGGAGGAGGTGGATTTCCCCCGCAGGCAGGTTATTTCGCCATCCCCTGGTCTGATGCACCTTGTCTCTTCCCTGAGACACGTGAAACATGCCTCGGTCAAAGGCCTCGCGGCAGGTAGAGGGGCCTGTGCTGTAGCGGGGAAAGCGGGGGTTGCAATATGTGGGGGTTGCCATGCAGATCACTAATGAGATTTCTCTCCTCCATTCACTCTCCAGGTCGGTGACTTCGGGGATGCCACAAACTGGCCGACCCCTGGAGAAATAGCCAACAAGAGTGTCCAGGTGAGGCATGAGGCCCTGGGACCGAGCACTGCACTGGGTCGCTATAGCCCGGGACAGCCCTGCCCTTTTTTCCTCCCCCCGCACCTCCTCAGAGGCAAAGCACCTGGGAGAAACTTTGCTGGATTAGGCCCCAGCTGCCCAGTGCTGGGGGTGCTGGGACCCACACCTGGCTATGCATCAGCCTGCCTTGTGCCCCTACCAACTTGTCCGTGTTTCCTCCTGCAGCAGGTCTTCCCTGCAGGGCTTTGCCTGTGCTATCTCCAGTGCCCCTTCGCTTCCCTTGCTTTTCTCTTTCGCCCCCATAAGCCCCTCTCCCAATCTCGGACGTGTCCCCGCAGTGTCACCTCCTCACCTGCACAGGATGTGCCCCCTTCACCTGGTTCCCAGAGCACAGCAGTCAGAAGCTTTGCTCCGTGGTGCGATTGCTACCCAAGCGCTCCCTCCAGAGGTTGTCCCAGGTCCCCTCCTTCGTGGCCTCTTGCTAGCGGGTGGCTGGGCCTCCAGGCTGTGGGGAAGGAGGAGTAGCGCGCTGTCTACTGTAGCTTCTTTTCTTGCAAAGTGCATTCACGCAGGGCATGGCTCAGTCCTTCTTCCCCTTCTTTGCGGGGCAGCAGCAAGAAATAGACCCGATCCCAGGTCTGGGGTGGGGTGCTGTGGCCTGTCCGTGCCATCCAGTGGAGCTTGGAGTAGCCAAGGGGCTGCATGCAGACCAGCATGGGTGGCCCGGCGTCATGTCTGCGCTGCAGGGATGCCTGGGAGCAGATCTCGTGCTCGGCTCTTCCCGTGGCATCCTGGCCTCCAGTGTCACCGGGCAGCCTTGTTTTCAGTGGCACTCGACCGTTGACATCTTTACCTGTTGGGTGTGAAACTTTTGGGGGCTCGTGTGCAGCGCGGGGGAGGCCAGGCCTGGATTGTCCCTTGTCTTGTGCCAGCCCCCAAGTGGGAACTGCCGCCTCCTGCCCCTGCAAAGCGGCTGCTGCCCCAATATGATCTACCAACCCTGTCAGATTGATGTTGGACCCGGTTCCCCCCAGATCCCCTGAGCGTAGGGAGGGACGAGCTGCCTGCCGCAGGCTTGTGCGAGCACCGGTGTCTCCCCTTCTACCCCTTCACTCTCCCCTGCCCAATTGCAGCCCTCTATCCCCAGGTAACAACCCTGAGGGTATAACCATCTTCTGTCCTCAGCTGTCTGGCTCCTTGCAGGATCAGGTGGCAATGGGGCCTGTCTTTGCTGGTGGTCTGGAGTGGTTAAAACTGCAGCATCCTCAGCTCACTCCCTGCCGTGGGCCCCAGTTCTGGTTCTCCCTCCGGGACTGGCACCCATCACAGCTCCCTCGCACCCAGCCCTTGGCAGGATCACCCCAAGAGCAGAGCAGATTGTCCCTCCCCGTCCTTTCCCCATCAGCAGGACCCCCGGGGCAGCTGTGAGATGAGCGTGAGCGCCCCGATCCTCGTAGGCATGGGGCCCAGCACAGAGCTGGGAGCTGCAGCTGGGCGCAGCTCTTTGGGGCGCTGAGGGCTCAGGAGGCAGCCAGGAATAGCCCACCGGGTGCAGAGCGTTGCCTTTTTCGGCCGCTTGCAGGGCACTGCTATTTTGGGACAGAAGCTGGAGCCCGCTGCGACCTGTGGCAATGGCAGGACCTGCTCAGCCCGTGGCTCCCGGGGGCAGAGTGACTTGGGGTCAGGGCCGGGCAAGGGCCCTTCTGTTTCCCATCTCCCTCCTGGCTCTGAGAGCTGCCATCTGTCACGGCCCTGGGGAGAATGTCCCTCTCTCCCATTCCCGGTGCTGGATAAGCCCCAGCACCCCCTCGCTCTCAGCGGCTCCCCTGTGGGCACGGCTGAGATGCCCCCAGGTCGCTGCCAGCAGGGTGGGAGCCTGGGTGCCGCTGCAGAGCCTGGCACAGCTCGCTCGAGCCGGGGGCAAAACCCTGGTCGGGTGAACTGTGTCTGCAAGCGAGTGGTGCTGGGACACGGTCCTCAGCTGCAGTCGCTTCCCTCCTGCCTACCCCTGGGGCTGCGGAGGGAGCTCCGGGCTGCGTGGTCCCGTCTGTGCCCACTCCCGCGCCAACCGTCCGGCCTTGTCCACCCCGCAGCCGCACAAGCCACAGCCCCTGCGGAAGCTGCCGATCAAGAAGGACATGAAGGAGCAGGAGAAGGGGGACGGAAGCGACGGCAAGGAAAACCTGAAGGCCCGATCGGACGAGTCCGGGGAGGAGAAAAACGGTGACGACGACAACCAGAAGGCGGGCCAGAAGAAGAAGGGTGAGGATGGGGGTTTCTCGGTGCCAGTCAGGCTTGCTGGTGCCCCTGCGCATCCCGCTGGCGATGGGGCCGTGGTCCTGTCTTGGACATGTGCTTCTAGGCCAGTGGTGACCCCGCAGAGGTGGATGCCAGCGGCCCGGGTGCTTTGTAGGCTAGCACGGGGGTTGTTATCGCTGGGTGATGTGGCGAGGGTGGTGCCCCAAGCCCACATGTCACGCTGCCCCTGTCCCTGGCACAGGCAACAAGCACAGGTGGGTCCCGCTGCAGATCGACATGAAGTCGGACGTGTCAAGGGATAAGACCGCCTCCCGCAACAACCGGCAGAACGAGCAGCACCGACACCCCTCCAACAACCGCGGCGAGCTGAAAGGTGGGTGGCAGAACAAGCGCTGGGTCAAGCCGGACGGGACGTCTGGCCTGGGTGCCCCCTGGGCTCTGTCACGGCCACGGTGAACCTTATGAGATGCCCTGAAAGCCTTTGCCTGAGCAGCCCAGATGCCGTGGTGAGGGGCACTCCTTCCCAAGCTCCAAGGGGAAGCTCCCAGGAGCCAGTGTCGGTGCTGGTTCCTGCTTCTCCGATGCAAAGGCTCCTCTGGGCACAGCTTGGGGCACAGGGCTGCAGTCACTAGATGCTGGCCAGCCCTGGAACAGCCTGGGCCTTGCAAGAGGCCTGAGAGCAGGTGTCGTGCAACCGCGGCCTCTGCCAGCCAGCTTGCAGCGCCGGGCCTCCTCGTACGGCCGAGGCCGCTGACGTCCCCCATCCCGTGCCCCCGCAGGCTGGCACCCCGACAACAAACACGAGCGGAACTGGACCGACCACGACGAGACCTCCAGCGTGAAGAGCGAGGGCGGCGCCGTGCGAGGAGCTTTCCGGGGAAGAGGCCGTGGCCGGGGCCGCGGCAGGGGCCGGGGCAGAGGAGGTACTCGCTGTACGTACGGCCTGTTGGCAGGTGGGGGTGGGGGCCGGGGAGCAGGGCACGGTCGTGGCGGGCAGCCCCGGTGGGTCCCCAAGACCAAACGGTTCCTCTGGGCTGGGTTCCCGCAGCGCACTTCGACTACCAATACGGCTACCGGAAATTCGACGGCTCGGACGGCTCGCGCGCCCAGAAGTACACCAGTAACATCACCTACTACTTCGACAACATCAGCAGCACCGAGCTGTACAGCGTGGACCAGGAGCTGCTCAAGGACTACATCAAGCGCCAGATGTAAGTCCCAGCTAGGGCCCTCTGCTCCCAGCCGGCCTGGGAGCGTGGGGATGGGGGCTGTGCATGTGTCTGACCTCCCCCACCATTGCCTCTGCAGCGAATACTACTTCAGTGTGGACAACCTGGAGCGGGACTTCTTCCTGCGGCGCAAGATGGACTCGGACGGCTTCCTCCCCATCACCCTCATTGCCAGCTTCCACCGGGTGCAGGCCCTGACCACGGACATCAGCCTCATCATTAAGGTGAGGCACCGGTGTGCTTTGGGGTGTGGGTAGGTCCGTGTGATGCCCAGAAAAGCAAAGCTGTGCCCTTCCTGGCGGTTCGAGGCACTGAGGCGGGGATGGGAGGAAGGGGAGACCTGGGGGGCCGGGTCTGGGCTGTCTGCGGCTGCCGCGTCCCGGTAATCATGCTGCTGCGGGGCTGGGTGTCTCCAGGCGCTGAAGGACAGCAAGGTGGTGGAGATTGTGGACCAGAAGATTAGGAGAAAGGAGCAGCCTGAGAAATGGCCCTTGCCTGGCCCTCCCATGGCAGACTACACGCAGACCGACTTCTCCCAGCTCATCAACTGCCCCGAGTTCGTGCCCCGACAGAGTTTCCAGAAGGAGACAGGTGGGTGGCGCGGAGGGAGTTGGTGGCACGTGCCTGTGAGCCGCTGCAGGCAGACCGGGGTCGCGGCTGGGGGCGGTATTGTGGGGTGAGGGGAGCAAGCCGGAGCGTGCCAGGTCTGAAGGGTGCGTCCGTCTCCCGCACAGAGTCCGCGCCGGGCTCCCCCCGTGCTGCTAGCCCCGTGCCTACCAAGACGGAGGAGGTCAGCAACCTGAAGACGATGCCCAAGGGCCTGTCCGCCAGCCTGCCCGACCTGGACTCGGAGACGTGGATCGAAGTGAAGAAGAGGCCCCGGCCCTCCCCAGCCAGGCCCAAGGTGCGGTGCAGTGCGGTGCTCAGACCCTGGTCTCTCCTGGGGCAGTAGCTCCGGAGAGGCAGGGCCCTGAGTTGGCTTCTGGGATTGGTTTGCATGGGCTGCATCTCTCCTCATCCACTCAAACCCCTTATGGAGCCAGTCCCTGGGTGCTTGGCTTGCCTTGAGGCAGGGAAGCAGGGGGGCTGGTTGAGGAGATGCTCCCGTCCTGAGGGGCTGGGCACCTCCGGCATCCCCAAAACCCTGTGGGCAATGAGAAGCCATGAGAGGAGGTCGGGCCTTGCAGCCCCGTGTTGCTGCCTTATCTTACCCGGTACATCCCGAGGACAGAGGTGTGGGGCGGCCAAGGAGAGCTCAGCTGAGGAGCCTGGAGCTCCCTGGGTCTGGTGGTCTCCCAGCAGCCCAGTCCCCCACAGCCTTCCCCCTGCTCTTGCCCACGCCTGCAGAAAGCGGAGGAGTCGAAAACGCCGCAGAAGCAGAAGGACCAGGACGAGCCAGAGGAGCTGGACTTCCTGTTCGACGAGGAGATGGAGCAGATGGACGGGCGCAAGAACACCTTCACCGACTGGTCGGATGAGGACTCGGACTACGAGATCGACGACCGCGACGTCAACAAGATCCTCATCGTCACGCAGACGCCCCCCTACCTGCGCCGCCACCCCGGGGGTGACCGGACCGGCAACCACACCTCCCGGGCCAAAATGAGCTCGGAGCTGGCCAAGGTGATCAACGACGGGCTGTACTACTATGAGCAGGACCTGTGGACCGAGCAGTTCGAGCCCGAGTACTCGCAGATCAAGGTGAGCGCCGGGCTGCGGGTTAGCCTTCCAGGCTGCGTCTGCACGTTAGGGGGTTAATTCAGCTTAGTGAATCCAGTGGACACTCCCAGCTTCTGCCCAGCACCCAGCTGACTTGGGTTTACTTGGTGCTGCGCTGCAGTGCATCAGGCTGACCTGGACTAGACATGGGAGTGTGTCCGCCCAGTTTGCAATGAGTTTCATGGGTGTGGATGAGCCCTGGAGCCAGTGCAATGCGGGCATCATATGGAGACAAGCCTGGAGCATGCCCAGCTGACAGGGCGCCCGTCAGGAGAGCGGGGCTGACTTCATCCGTAGCCTTGGTGGGAGGGTGGTATGTGCGTGTCCGCTCCAGGAAAGTCCAGCTCCCAGGATGGGGCTCTTGGCTGTATCGGGTGGATTTGTAGGTTCTGGGAGCAGGAGGCGGCGCCAATACCGGCTCTGCATCCTCTTTGTTACCTTTCCGCTGCAGCAAGAAGTGGAGAACTTCAAGAAGGTGAATATGATCAGCAGGGAGCAGTTTGACACCCTCACCCCAGAGCCCCCGGTCGATCCGAACCAGGAAGTCCCTCCTGGACCCCCCCGGTTCCAGCAAGGTAAGGGGTGCCACAGCCTGGGCACGGGAGAAGGTGGATGCGGCCTGCTGGAAACGGGTGGCTTCTCCAGCACGTGGGCCCTGGTGCCTGGGGGCAGCACAGCGAGGACCTGGACGAACCTGCCAGGCGGGATGTGCCTCCTGAGCCTTGTGTGGTGTGCTTGGCCCGTCGGCTGTTGTTAGGGGCTCTGCGGTGGTGTCTGTGTGTGTGCACACTCTGTATGCTCAAGTGCAACCAAGGGCTCACCCTGACCCTAACCCTGCGCTTCTCCCGCCAGTCCCCACCGATGCGCTGGCCAACAAGCTCTTCGGCGTCCCTGAACCATCAACCATTGCCCGGTCTCTGCCAACGACTGTGCCAGAATCGCCCAACTACCGCAACGCCAGGACGCCCCGCACCCCCCGCACGCCGCAGCTCAAAGACCCGACTCAGACGCCGCGGTTTTACCCGGTCGTGAAAGAGGGCAGGACGATAGATGCCAAGGTGAGGGGTGCCTCAGGCCGGGGCAGTGTGGGCCGGGCGCGACTCCTGCTCCACGCTGCGGTCAGAGCTGGGGGGAGATGCCAGGCTGGGAGAAGAGGAGCTCTTACGCCGCTGTCTCTTGCAGACTCCCCGCAAGCGGAAGACGAGACACAGCTCCAACCCTCCCATGGAGTGCCACGTCGGCTGGGTGATGGACTCCCGGGAGCACCGGCCACGAACTGCCTCCATCAGGTGCGGCGGGGCGGGAGGCTGTGTGTTGTAGGCAAACTGGGGAGGGAAAGGCGTCTTGCCTTGCTAGGGGTGTAACACAACCCAGGCAGGAGCAGTGCAGAGTTGGAGAGCTCCTCCCAATATGATGCCCATGTACATGGCATTCCCCCTACAAGAGGCTGCAGCCATGCTCACAGCTCTGCCAGTGGGCACCTTGCAGGGTGTTAGATCCCCGTGGCTCTGCAGGAGCTGGGTGGGCTGCAACCGCTTGCAGTGGCTAATGGGAGTTCGGGATGTCGGTGAGCCCTGGGAGAGTGGGAAGGAGGCTTGACGGGGACCCTCCGTGCTCAGTTCCAGCCCCTCGGAAGGGACCCCGGCCGTGGGGAGCTACGGGTGCACGCCGCAGTCGCTGCCCAAGTTCCAGCATCCCTCGCACGAGCTGCTCAAGGAGAACGGCTTCACGCAACACGTGTACCACAAGTACCGTCGGCGCTGCCTTAACGGTGGGTGTGCGCCGCGTCCTCTCCGGTGGGGCTCCAGCGCTAGCCAGTGCATTGCGCTGTGGCCGGCAGGGGGGCCGCGCCCGTTCCTCTCCGGGGGGGCCCCGGCGTTAGCCAGTGCATTGCGCTGTGGCAGGCAGGGGTGCAGCAGGCACGGTGCCCTCGGGCCCTGATCTCTGTGCCAGAATGGCTTGTGTCGTGGCTGCTGAGCCTGGCCGGGGTCTGCTGTCGGAGTGAGGTCCTTGGCCTCGCTGGCTGGGAGTTCATGGGGGAAGCTGCTTGTCGCTGGAGGTTACGGAGGCCGAGACTCGCCAGTTCTGACAAGGGCTTAAATCCATGCCTAGGGGATGGGTGTGCGGGCAGCAGAGCAGTCTGAGTGGTCTCCTCTGACATCCCTACAGCAGTGGTACTGGATGCCCGAGGGGGTCTGACCGGGGATGGGTCACATTGGACGGGTCCTCTCTTTTTTCCCTCTGAAATCTTTGCTGTTTGCCACCATCGATGGCAGGGTGCTGCACAGGTCGGGCCATTGCTCTGACCCAGTGGCACTTCTTATGGCTCCGGGTGTGCCCAGAAGTGACCATGGCTTTGGGAGCCAGGCAGCCCCTGTGCCCATCAACACATCCCTGGCTGCTACTGGGGGTGGGGTGCAGCCCCTTTGGTACCCAGCACGGCCCCCTGACCCCGGCGGTCCACGTGTCTGCCCCACATCCCAGTGTAACGGCCTCCCTTCCCACTCACAGAGCGGAAGCGACTGGGCATCGGTCAGTCCCAGGAGATGAACACACTCTTCCGGTTCTGGTCGTTCTTCCTCCGCGACCACTTCAACAAGAAGATGTACGAGGAGTTCAAGCAGCTGGCTGTGGAGGATGGGAAGGAGGGATACAGGTAGGGGAGACATGGCTCAAGGGACCTGGCCTGCATATGGGGGCAGGGGTGGGGATGTCTCTGGGTTAGGTGGCTGTCCTCGTGCATGGAGAGTCCGGGGGCGGGGGTTGCTGTTTCCTGCCCCTGGCTGCAGCACTGAGGCAACGTAGCTGTGCACGGCACTCATGGGCCCGGGACTCCTCTGCCTTGCAGGTATGGTCTGGAGTGCCTTTTCAGATACTACAGCTACGGGCTGGAGAAGAAGTTCCGCCCGGACATCTTCAAGGATTTCCAAGAAGAAACCATCAAGGATTATGAAGCTGGTAAGTGGCTCTTTCAGCTGCTCCTGGCATGGCCACGGGATCCCACCAAGTCGGGCTTGCCTCCCAGGGGCTTCCTCCGATCACTTGAGAGGGGCAGTCGCACGCTGCTCCGTGTTGGCCTGGTGGGAGCAAGGATGGGCGACGAGTGTGAGCTGCTGGTGCATGTTACCCATTCATGACAGGCTGTACCCTCACCCAGTCCAACCTAGGGAGGGTTGGACCCAGGATTTCTCAGCCCTCTCAGGGTGTCTAATGCCCCTCTGAGTCCCCACCTGGGGGCGGCGTCACCTGGGCACTAATCGGGCGCGCCCTGACCCGAGGATGGCAGTCAGCAGGCTGTGGAGCCCCCTGAGGCCATCCTGACCCCAGCCTTCCCACCCCTCCGCACCACAGGGCAACTCTACGGGCTTGAAAAGTTCTGGGCCTTCTTGAAATATTCCAAAGCCAAAAATCTGGACATCGACAGCAAACTGCAAGAATACCTCAGCAAGTTCAAGCGCCTCGAGGACTTCCGCGTGGACGTGAGTATGCGGGCGGTCTCCTCCGTGTGTAGCCCTTCCGGAGGGGGCGTCTCAGCCTGGGGTGGTGGCGACCAGGCACCTGCAGCAGCACCCGGTGCGGAGTTTGGGCCATTGCGGGAGTGGTCTGCTGTGCTCCTGGGCTGCAGGGGCCTGGAGCCCGAGACTTGGAGCTGGGCTGGTCTCAGTGGGGGCAGATGACAGGACAAGGAGCAATGGGCTCAAGCAGCAGCAAGGGAAGTTGAGGGTGGATATTAGGAAAAACTTTCTCATAGTAAAGCCCTGGAACAGGTTACCCAGAGAGGTGGTGGAGTCTCCATCCTTGGAGGGGTTTAAGACCTGTGTAGACAAATCCTTGGCTGGGATGCTGTGGGTGGGGCTGGTCCTGCTTGGAGCAGGGGGTTGGAGTAGATGCGACCTCCTGAGGCCCCCTCATTTTCTGATTCTGTACCCTGCCCCGGTAAGGACGAGGCCGAGCTTTCCCTTTATCCCACATGGGGTCAAACAGCGAATCTGAAAGCACTCCGTGCTTGAGGCAGGGATGCGGCAGGGGGGACGTTTTGCCCTCCAGCTCCATTAAATTGCAGGCCAGTGGCTCTCCGGGACAGATGAGTCCAAGCCCCGTGCAGTACAGCCTGCCATGGCCCAGACCCTCTCTGCACTCCCCAGTCCGATAGCACAAGATTGAAAAGAGGGTTCAAGACCTCCATGAAGGCTGCTGCAGAGGTCATGGGTGTGTGGGTGATGGGCATGATGGAGCCAGCTGGAGCCCTTTCCTCCGGTGCCTGGAGCCGTGGGTGCAGGGGGGAGCTGAGCTGCCCCAGGGCTTCATCAAAAGCCTCCGTGCTCGCATGTGTGTCCAGGCAGCACTAGGCGCAGGGCGGACAGCACAGCAGAGCCGCTCTGACGCCAGCGCCTGTTCTGTTGCAGCCGCCCATGGGGGAGGAAGGCGGGCAGAAGAGATACCCGTCGACGGCAGGAGGAGACGGGAGGAAGCGCTATCCATCCCAGTCTTCTAGCAAGCCGGTCAGCCAGCCCCCTGCCTCGTCCGGCCAGCCCGCCAGAGAGGATGCCAAACCCCCGAGCCAGCCTGCCCCGGCCACGGCAGCTGTGGACCCTCACGCGCTGGGGAAGTAGCGAATATCGAGCTGCTGCTTCCTGCCGGGCGAGGGGGGTTGGCGGGGAGCTGGACCGGGGAGGGGAGGAGTGAGTGAGTGAGTGAGTGAGGCTGGGGGTGGGCAGGACGGAGCAACGAGGCGGGTGCCTGCGAACCGAATCGAATCGAATCGGCTGCTTGGGGGAACCCTTCAACGCACTCGCGGCTGGACAAGACTCTCCACGCCGAAGCTGCCTCTGCTTGCTGTACGTCGCCGGCCGGAGCCAGACCCCCACACTTTCATGTCTTAGCTTCTTTCTTTTTTTCCGGGTGGGTTGGGAAGAGGGGGAGAGGTGTTTTTTGTTTTTTTTTTTTCCTTTTTTATTCTATATATATATCAAGTTTTAAATTATTGATCGAGGCTCGTCGGGATGGATTGCCACTGCTCAGCTCCACGCGCCCCTTCCCGAGCCCCGCCCCTGCCTCCGGCCACCCTTCAGCCTGGAGGAGTGAGATTTCCACCTGCCCCCCAGAGCAATCTCTAGCTCTTCTGGGCTGGCTGCGACCCCGTGGAGCCCTGTCACCGGGAGCAGGTCGGCGCCTACCCCTTCCGGGGCTGCAGTGGATCCGGAGCATCACCCCCGGGGTCGACCTCTCCTCCCCCCACAATTTGCCCTTCCACCACAGACACTTGGAAGTCAACCAAAGGAGCTTTGCCAAGTGAAGGCTGCCTCCCTCCGAGCTCGGCCGATGCCTTCCACGCCCGGACTGCAGGCAGGGGGGCCGGGAACGCTGCACGGAGCCCCCTCCCAAACCGCCACCGGGCATGCACAGAGACGGGCCTGCGCCCGGGCGCTTTCTCTTCTTTTCGCTTGACGACTTGCACGTGGAAAATCAACCAACCGGAGCCCCTGGACTGTGGGGACTCTTCTCCCTTTGCTGCTTCCTCGGAAATAATCGTTCAAAACAAACAAACAAACAAAAAAAAAAAGTTGCCTTATGGTGGAGCTGGAACTCGGAGACCTGCCGGCTCCCCTTCCCGACGCCGGCCGGGACCCCCCTTCTTCCCCGCCTCCAGCCGAGAGACTCCTTGCGGGGCCCACGGGCAACACCCTGCAATGCCACTTTTGTGGTCTCAGGGAACGTGGCATCAGGCTCACGGACGACCTGGCCCCATTGCAGCCCGGCTGTGGGCCCCGCTCCCGGCAGAGGCAGCGTCCTCCAAGACTTGTGCTATTACGTAGTGGATGCTGATACATGTATATACTGTTGTAGTGCCCTCCCTGCTGTCGCCTCGCTCAGACTCACAGGGTCACTGCCGTTGTCTTTCCCCTCCCGCCAGCCCCCTAAGCAGGGGCATCTCAGTCTGTTACACTCATGCTGGGAGGGAGGGCACTGGGAGATGCAGCCGTGGCAGGCGAAGGACTGATTTCTCACTCGAGGAGAGACGCAAAAGCCCCTGGAGCAGGTGACCGGTGCCGCGCATGCTGGGCACAGGTAGGGTTGTACTGAAGGTGGGTCTGGAAGGTAGCTCCTTGGTTTCTCCTGCAGGTTTCCCTAGGTGCACAGGGATTGTCTACTCGCCCATCCTCTCCAGGGTTTGGGTCTGTGCGGTCCAGCCGGGCAAGGCCAGCGGGGCCGCTGTGCGCTAGCCTGAATGCAGCAGAAAAAGGCTGAAGAGCAAAGCTGTTCAGGGGTCTTGGACCAAGTGGCTGAGCCTGCCAGTGGGGCGGTAGGAATTGCCCCCAAGGCAAGCTGCATGCAAGCTGGGAGACTCAGGCTTCTGGTGCAAAGGTGGAAGTGGCTTCCCCTGGTGCCGCGTGCAGGGGAGATGCTTACGTGACCCCAGGCTCTGCCTCCATCCGTGAGGGCCAGGGCTCTGCTGTCGGGCGTGTGCCCCGTGCGCTGTCCTTGCAAAGCACAGGAGGCCGCTCAGTGAGCGGGTACTAGGAAGCCCTGGGTCTGGATGGTGCAGTGTACACCGCCAGCCAGCCACCACCTACCCATTTTCAGTGTTTTAAGAGGGTAACTGTTCTCCTCCCACATGTTCCACGGTTGGGGTGCTGCAGTCTGTGCGGGGTTTGAGTCTACTGCTGCTTTGTATGGAGGGATGTGAGGTTCGCAGGGAAAAATCACTGGAGCCCAGAGCAGAGCTGGTCCCGGTGTGCTGGGCACAGGCTCCTGAACAGCTGAGGGTTTGCTTGTGGGTGTTGCATAGCAGGAGGTGGCCACGAGCAGCCCGTGGACCGTGCTCAGCAAAAGATGCCGCTCAGACTGGCGAGGTGCTGCTTTTGCGAGGGAGCCGAGGGGCTAGCAACCCCTCAGCTCACACCCTGGCTCTGCCGAAACGCCAGCCTGCAATCGGTACCGCTTGAGGGCCTGGCGTCCGTGCACAAGCCTCCTCCCCGGGCTTTGTCTGGGGCAGCAGGGCATCCCCGTGTGGGGCCTGGTTTCAAACCTCATCTTAAATCCTGGAGGATTGGAGCCGGGTGGGGAGGGTGAACCTGGAGCAGCGTGACGGGGCTGGTGGGAGGTTGTCTGGAAGGTCACGCATTCTCCTGCCACCCAAGCGTCTGCCTCGTTGCAACCAAGCAGATGGGAAATGAGGAGCCGGTCCACTTCGGCCACTGTTGCTGGTGGGCGGTAGGGCCAGAGACGGTCCAGGGGACCCAGAAATCCAAGCTGATTGCTTTTGAGGTTAAGAGTTTGTTGGCTTTTTTAATCTGCCAGGTTCAGACCCTCTCAGATTTCAGCCCAGAGCATCATCCTCTCCCCACTGAGTCAGCGAGTGGTCACGCAAATCGGCGTGGGTGGGTGACCAGAAGCGAGGTCCCAGCCACGGCACCGCAGCCCAGATCCACAGGCTGTTGAGGAATAGATGGCTGTTGAATCGGGTATTGATGGGCTGTGTCTCGCGTTGCTACAGAAGAGACTAGTGGAGGCAGGGGAGAGGTGGATGTAACTGGTAGAAAGAGGTGGCCGCGTTGCCTCCTGCAGACTGTAATAAGCCGCGGCCGTCAAGCCCTGTTCTACCCGCTGCTCGAAAACCAGCGTCTGCATTAAGAGGAGGGCGATGGGGTGGCCTGAGCTGGTCTCCAACACCATGCCTAGTTGGTTGTGGCCAGTGTTTGCTGACCTGGGAGGGGTCTCCCGTCCTCCGTGGCGTGCACGTGAGATGGGACGGTTCTGCAGGCGCGCCCGTCCCACCACGCTATATAACGATGTATATAGAGGAGATGGCACGTGCCTCGGAGGAGAGAGGGGTGCTGCTTTAGGAGAGGGAGCAGCAGCGAGGCTTCCCCGGGAAGGAGCGTGGCCCTGCTCCTAGCACGGGGCGGTCCGTCGCGACCCTCCTGCTGCGCTCGGGCTGTTTCTGAGGGGTCTGCGCCTGTGCGGTTCCACAGCTTGGATTCCTGCGTCCCATGGCCCCTGGCTCAGCAGCAGCCGTTGCCTCCTGTCTTTGGGCAGGCCCGAGCTGAGGTTGACCCAAGGAAACTTTGCAAAGCAGAAGCCGGCCGTCCTCCCAGCCGCCCGGGGAGAGCGGTTGGCTGGTGCCGTTCCCCACGGGGTTTTGTCTGGGTGCATAAGATCAGACGCGTCTCCTGTCTGGGGCCCGGTGCATCGAATGCCATTCTCATAAATGCTGGCAGTCGTGACGGGGTCCAGACCCGGTGGCTCGGGGCCCGTCTGTCGCCCCTCTGCTTCCCCGCGGGGGGGGGGGCTCATCACCTGTAACCATTGGATTCCGTAGCCCCTCGTTTGCTTCTCGGTCGACCGTACTGTAACAAAAGGCATCCGATGCCTTTTTGCACCACCCCTGCCGTACTCCTGCGCACGTGCGACGCCGCAGAGGGGAGCCTTTCCGCTGTTAACGCCTCTCGGATATTTGGTTTCGTTTTCTCAAGCCACCACACAAACCCCGCCCGTGAAGACCTGTACGTGTCGCAGATTGTGTGTGCAACGCGCTCTTTCCTCTGTGCATCTCTTCTCCGAGACTTTGGTTTTGTCCGTAGCTCACTTCTTCCAATCACCGCTAGGCTCTTCATAGGGAGAGGGTTGCTACACGTGATGGGAAACGCCTCGCTGGCTCCGTTGAGTTTTTGTTTCTGATCCCTGTAACGCAAAATGAATTGGTTTTGTTTTGTTTTTGGAAACGCATTTCATCTCAGTGATGTGGATCGGGTGGAGTGACATACGTGTTTTGTTTTTGTTTTTAATCCTAGAGGCAATGTTTCAAAGCGTAGTTTACATCTTCACTTTCTGAAGACACTTGAACATAGGACCGATGTATCTGTGACAAGCACACCCTGGTGTTGGAAGCTCCCGAGGGGTGGGAAAAGGGCACGGGCTCAAGCCCCTCCGCTGTCCGCTTTCGTAGCCCTTTCCGTGTCCGGTCGGGCGCGCTCTGGTGAACCTCCCCTTTCCTCAGCGCTACATTCCCACTTTGCACCACCCCAGAGCATCAGTCTGGTACAGCATATTGGCTTGTGCCAACGCCATCCTTCGTGGGAGGGCAGTTGGCGTTGCTTCTTCCATTGGAGCCCTCCCGACGTAGCATTGTGTGCCTATGGAGAAGGGCAGCCGACCTCTCCCGTTCCTTAGCCCCTCGTTTTGCTCCCCGGAGAAAGGTCCTGCACTTAGGGTGGCAATCCCCATGCCAAGCCACTGTGACTGGGACGCTGAGCTCGACTTGGGGAGGGTTGGAGTCGGGGGGGGGGGTCTCTTCCATTTTTCCCCCCATGCCAGGTCTTGCTCTGAGCTGCCCTAGGCTGAGCAGAGAAGAACCTGCCTTTCAGATGGGTTGCTTTTTGTGTCCGTGCGCTCAGACTCGGTTAGGACAAAAGGGGATATTAGTTTGACCTGCCTGCCCTTCTCCAAGGGGCTTTGTGGACATCCCAACCTCAGCCCTCCGCTCCCGAAAACAAAAAGAAACGCGTGAGCAACCTTCTTCCGCTGCATTTTATTGTAGAGACAAATTTAAAATGACGCATCGCAGACCACGTATCACCGGGGAGGGAAAAATCTTGTTAATATAGCCCACTGTACATGATCCATCTTCTGTTGATAGTACATAATCTTGACCCATGTGCTAGAATCATTACCCCAGTTAAAAAGGAAAAGAGAAAAAAAAAATGTAAAATACTTGAATGAGAGCTTGTATTATAACATTAATATTATTCAGAGTATCTGCTTTCTAGGCTGATGTGATTCATTATTCTAGTAATGCTTTAGTCCTTTGTAATTTGTGGTAATTATGCTTTTTCCTTTTTAATACAAAAAATGTATAAAAATAAAAACTTCAAAAGGCCATGGAGCTTGGGCTCTTAATTCACATGCTTTCCCTTTCCAGGAATGAGGTGGGTGTCAAGTAGTGGCAGGAACGTAGCCAGGATGTGCATGCTCTCTGGCTGTGTGCTGCAGGGAGAGACTTGGCTCTGGTGCACGGGGTATTTGTGAAGGCAAGAGGCCAGTAGTAGCACAAGGTAAGTGTAGAGCTCCTAAAGAGTTGTCCAAAGATAGCTTAAACTCAATCCAGTGCACTTTTTGGCTAGTTCCTGTCTTGGGACCTCCGCCAGCTGTGCCCATGCATCTTAGTTGTGGCTTCTGCATCCCGCATCTTGCTTTGAGATGCTTTGGGATGCGTTCAATTGTATAATGGCTTCCTAACAAGCAGGGGCTAAACCAGCTAGTTTCACAGCTCTCCCTACCAAAGAGCTGAGGAGTATGGGTGGTGATGGGCAGCACCTCTCTCAACTGAGTTCCCTTGTTGCACCGAGTTTTCCCGGGTTGCTGCCTGCCTGCGTTGCGGTGCTGCAAGTGAGTTGAGTCTCCCTGGGAGGGGTGGCCAGCCTTGCAGTGTCTGAACAAGGCTGGGCTGATTTAGTCTGCAAAAGAGGAGACTCAAGAGGGATTTGATAGCAGCCTTCACCTCCCTGCTGGGGGGCTGCGAAGAGGATGGAGCTGGGCTGGTCTCTGGGGGCAGATGACAGGACAAGGAGCATTGGGCTCAAGCTGCAGCAAGGCAAGTTGAGGTTGGATATTAGGAAAAAACTTTCTCACTAGGGAAGTAGTAAAGCACTGGAACAGGTGACCCAGAGAGGTGGTGCACTCTCCATCCTTGGAGACTTAAGGCCCAGCTCAAAACCTTGGCTGGGATGATGTAGTTGGGGCTGGTCCTGCTTGGAGCAGGGGGTTGGACTAGATGTGACCTCCAGAGGTCCCTTCAGTCCTTATGTCCTGTGATTGTACCTGGCTGTTTTACAGAGCTCCAGGTGGCTCTAAGGAAAGGCTCTCAAAGTACCTTGGCTTTGTTTTTTCATCTTGCCTATTAATTGCTTTTAACAGTCAAACAAGTCAGTGGTTCCAGTTTGTGCAGCGTATGCCAAGGGTGGGAACAGATGCCATCGAACATCTCATTTGGGTGTTATCATATTTTTTTAGTGAATTGCCAGGTAGTTTTCAGAGTCAATGCCCCCATGCCCGGGGGGCTGCTGGCATGAGATGGCACCAGTCACAGAAGCACATCTCCCAATGCAGGTCGTAGCCAGGCTGGTTGGGAAATCCTGGCTAACGTGGGTGGTAAAACAGTGATGCAAACTTCCATTTTCAGGTTTGGAGTACAATTCAAGTGGGTGGTCAAAAAGCAGATGTCTAAGCAGCAACCATCTCTGGGCTGCCTTGGGAATGGGTCACAGACCATTTGAGCTGGTCCTGTGCCCGCTCCTGGAGGATCTCCAGCTGCCGCGAAGCTGCCCAGAGCTGCGCTGGTGGAGGCCGCAGGGAAGCAAGTGCAAAACTGCTGCATGTGATTTGCTTTTTTAATTTAATAACTGCTTCTCTAGCACATCATTGGGCAATAATCATCCTGAGTCCCTCACGTGGTGCTGAGACCTAAAGCACCTGGACAGCGGGCGGGGTTCACTTCGCCTTCCTGGGGGAGTCGGGGATGCTTCCAGCACGAGGCATGGGGTCGGGTCCCTTACAGGCCTGGCTTTGCTTAAAAAGCGTGTCCGTTCCATGCAAATAGTCCAGGATCCCCACGACGCCGTAGCACTGATTGAACCTGGTGACCAGAGAAGAAGTGCAGGTAGCATGATTATAGTGTGATCACCACAGCCTGGTGCAGCTGTTTTCCCTCTGCTCTTGAGCCCCATCTCCCGCGTGGAGCTCCAGCAGTCCTGTTCAGCATTTCCTGAGCTAAACCAGTTTTTGTCCTCCCTCCCTGTTGCACGGACATGCCAGGTGCAGCGTTCCCCTGCTGCTCTAGGCAGCAGCAGTCCAGCTACCCAGAAGATCCTCTGCAAACAGATGCTTGATGCTGAAGATTGCAACAGCCCAGGCAACGTCTCCTGAGCTGCAGCTTGCCCTCTTTTCTGGGTACAACCCAAGGGGCCTATTGTTTTCTGCTCTGCAGCTCAGAGTCCAGCTTGACTAACCAAGAGCCACAGAAAACAGTAAGTGATGAGTCTGAAGGTTGCAGAAAGCATCAGTCCCTGAGCCGGGTTGAGAAGCCAGTCCTCTGTAGTGTAACCCACTCGGTTCTGATGTCTGCTTATACATGTTAAGGCTAAAAGCATATCTGCACTGCCTTATTTGGCTAATTCACCTGTGTTCACAGGCTCTCCTTACTTATTGACCGCTTTCAGATCCACCAGGGATGGGGGTGACCCCATGCCCAGAGAAGAGGCACTACAGAGCCAGTATAAGGGACTTACTTGAGGTGATGGAAGTCGTGAAACTCCGGCGAGGGGAGAAAGGGCAAGTGGTAGCCACAGTGCGAGATGCTGGTCACCGCGAGTGCAATGCAGACCCACAACATAGTTGAAGTGATATGGGATCGCAGGAGGATTGGCCCAAACAGCACGGGTAACGTGTTGGAGAGCTAAGATTTAAAAATAAGTCTGCCACATTAAACTCTCTGCTCGGCTGGTCCAAATCCCATCTCTTCTCCCTGCAGTTGCCCTCAGAGGCTGGGACCTGTCTATTAGCAGTTGTGGGGCAGTCCCAGAGAGAGATCCTGCTTTGTGCAGCTTACTGTCCTTGAAAGGGCTGCTCCAAAGAACCAACAGGCTTTGCTCAAGGCCCATATACTTTATCCACCTGAGCCCATCGCTGCAAGCCAGGCTCCTTCAGAAGCCCCCCTAGTCTTGCCTGCCCCTTGCTCTAAAAGGCCAAAGGAGCAAGCTAGAGAGCAATGCCCCATGACCATAAATTGTGTAGCAGAGATCCTCACAGTTGGGGGCATTTGTAGACACTCGCAGGGGTCAGCCTGCCCACAGTGCACAGGACAGGCCTTCACCCTCTAACTACACCAAGTCACTCAAGGCTGAAAAGACAGGGCTCTCCCCTGCCAGGTAATTAAAACCACCTTGACCAATAACCCCCTCATGGTATCTCCCCTGCAGGAAGGCAAGCCCCTGTTCGTTTGCTCTCTGAGCAGGAGGTTTCATCCTTGCCTCCCTCCATCTATCAAGGTGATTTCCTGCTCCCGTGGGACGGCTTATACACAGTTTGCAATGCTATTACCCTGCAGCCATGCCCCTGCAGCTCCTGTGTATGTCCAGTAGCCTACCTCCTGCCTGGAGGTCGTGTAGCTAGACAAAAACCCACAGCTAGTGGGTGCACCTATGCTGTTGCAGGAGCCAGGACCCTGATGTAGCTCCGTTGACCCTGATGTAGCTCCCTGCCTCCTGGGAGTGCCCAGGGCACCACATCAGATCATGGGAGATGTCGTTCGGCCAAGGACATTGGCAATTAGGAAAGGCTGGGAGGGAGGTGTTAGCTTTCCACACTACAACTCTTGTGAGATGCTGTTCAGGGTGGGGGGCAACTCTCGACAGGGATGTATTTAGCCGCCATACACACTCGGAGGTTGCTTTTCTCTGAACGTTCCCCCCGTGCGTCTGCCATGATGTTTCCTATAATTTCCCTTGCTAAAATCCTGGCCTTAGCTGCATCTCCAGAAGTAGCATGCACATGCACTCAGGAGGCCTTACCTTGGGCCTTTCCTGCCATTATGGGATTCCCCAGAAGAAAGGGGCAAGCGGGCAGGTGGTCTTCTCCATTGCATTCGCTCTGTGATGGGGTCTACGTGACTGGTCCTTGGGCAGTAGCCCCCAGAGAGTCCACTTACCAGGTGCTCGACTGGATGGCTGTACAGGGCGACCACGCTCACAGGGGCTGTCCATTCATGGTGCTTCTTGTGTATGTGCTTATACAGAAGTGGGTGATGAAAAAGCCTGAACAGAGAGAACCAGAAGTCTGCCTGTTAAATCCAGTAAATGATAACCATGCAGAAGCTAAGCCTGGATGCAGCATGTTAAGATGGGTGGGGCCTTATCCTTGCTTGTACACCTATGTAATCAACAGATAGGGGTCCAAAGTAGACAGATAACTAGCTCTTCTAAGGTATCTGTATTAAAGGCCGTTAAAAGACCTCGCCCCTTCTGGGGAAAAGGAGCCACTAGTAGCCCCTGCTACCCCAGGATAGAAGGACTTCTGGGTCCTAGGCTCTGGCCCCGGGGTTGTCTTCAACGTGCGTTTAATCCTATGACTGCTTTGCAGAAGGGAAGTTGTCCTTTACCTTGCATTGGTTGACTTTAGATATAAGCAAACTGCACATGAGAAAGAACCCAGCTCCTGGCTCTCTGGGGCGCTAGCGCTACGTAAAGAAGTCATGCAATGAAGTGCTTTTTTTAGCCTGTGACCTAGTCAGAGAACTGTAGAAAATGAGGATTGGAGGGGATGTCAGGTTGGACATCTAGTCCAACCTCCTGCTCAAACCAGGACCAGCCACAACTAGATCGTCCCAATCAAGGCTTTGTCTAGCTGGGTTTTAAAAACCTCCAAGGAGGGAGAGTCCACCACCTCTCTGGGCAACCTGTTCCAGTGCTTCACATCCCAGTAGGAGATGCTCCTGTGCTGAACCACCCGCCTCACTGCACCCCACCAAAAACCAAGCTTCAAGTGCCTCCCTTGGGGTGGCTCACATCTGGCCGACCCCCTCCCTGGAGCACACCTGCAAGCTTGGCGTACTGCTGCCACCACCCGGGCTCAGGTCTTTGTCTGGGCCCTGTGCCACCTGGGATACACAGGCCCTGTACACCTTGGGATTTGGGGGTGTTTCTATTAGCCTGAAGCTGTCACCAGCAGCTTCCCATGCAAAAGGAAAGTAAAATAGCTGAGCCCACCTTAGTGGGTCCTTTCCCTCTTAAGCACACACAGCGAGGCATGCTAAAACAGGTAGATTTATTGATCCAAGAGGGATAGGGTGGGGAAGTAGCAAAATATAGGAAGAAAACCAACCTTGAGCAAATCTGAGTGGTTTGTCAGCCTTTTGATACGCGACTAGATTACAGTCAACTAAGTTCCTAGTTAAGTTTCTGTTAAGTTACTCACTTTTGCATCCAGAGAATGAGAGCGAGCTGCGGCGGTCTGTGCTTCTGTGTGTTTTAAAATGCCTGCCCATTAAATGCCCTCTTAAATAGCCCTCCTGACCTCACTACCTGGACCCAGTCAGGGACAGGTGTTATTTGATGCTAGCCAATTAATTTGAAAAACATTGCAGTTGCCTAATGGAGTGACATGTGCATAAGCCCCTGCCCCTATGTCATGAAGTCAGAGCTCAAGACAATAGAGAGGTTAAATTCACATCACCTTACCTAAGGCCAGTCGCGTAGGCAATGGCAGCGAGTTGGATGCCTACCAACCCCAACCGGATTGATAGACACATGAGAGTGAGAGGGGGAACAGACCACCCCCGAAGAGAGGAGGCTGGAAGTGGATTCTCTCACACCCTCCTCATGAGAAAGTTTTTCCTAATATCCAACTTCAACTTGCCTTGCTGCAATGTGAGCCCATTGCTCCTTGTCCTGTCATCTGCCCCCACTGAGACCAGCCCAGCTCCATCCTCTTTGCAGCCCACCTGCAGGGAGGTGAAGGCTGCTATTCAATCCCCTTCAGGTCTTCTTTTCTCCAGACTAAATAAGCCCACTTCCCTCAGCCTGTCCTTACAAGTCACGTGCCCCAGCCCCGCCAAACCATTTTTGTTGCCCTTCTTTTCAGTCTTAAGCTATAACAGCGCGGAGGCCCGTTCCCCTGCTCAGGTCCTGCCCAACTCACCGGTGTGAATAGTAGAAGAGAATTTCCTCTACCAGGCCAAAGATGAGCAGCTCTATGAGGACCCATCTGAAGGTGGGCAATTCTTCTCTGCAAGGGTCCCCCCACCATTTCACGATGGGGAAAGTGAGCACCACCAGCGGGACAGAGATGAAGAACAAATTAAACAGCACTGTGCGAACAGCCTGGAGCAGCTTTTTTGTATCCACCTACATGAGTAGAGGAGAGATGAGCTTGGTGACCAAAATGAAACCCTGGGGGTTTGGGGCTAAGAGGAGGGGTCCTTTGTCAAGACTCAAAGGCCTTCTACACTGGGATAGCTCGGTTGCTTCACTACTGTCTGGCTGCCCTGGGGTTCCCGCTGGTGCTTAACTCACAGGGCTGGTGCAAGGGATGAACGCCTAAGTCAACAGGCATGTGTTTCACTGCAAAGCAGCAAATCATGCATTGTTTACCATCCACAGAGGATGCTTTCCACCTCCTTGTCGGAAGTAGGTCAGGAACTTTTCGCATTGCTCTGGCTGTAAGTTGCTCTGGCTTGCCTGGTCATGGTGTTTTCTGGCACTCCCCATTATTTAAAAGCTGCCAGAAACAGAGAATGGGAGTCAACTATGGGTGAGGGAAAACACATGCACCTACTCAAACACCCCCTTCTCACAGGAGGGGCATAGTCCCAGGCATGCTTCTCGGGTCTTGCTCTGTCTTGCCCTAATAAAAACAGCGATAGATCCACCCATGTGTCTCAACATCAATGAGTCTCTTATTTCAGGATCCTTCTTTCACAAGGGCAGCCTGCTTCTGGTTTACACCTGCAGGACATCCAACTGGGAACTTTCTAACTTGAACTTTCTAACAGATCTTAATACAGATCTTCTTGAGATCATCAGCCTGCCAGGGGTGTGTAATTTGGCCTCTGCACTTGTCCCAGCACTTTCAAAGAAGCTGTAACCATCTTTAGTGAAGCCTGGTAATTCCCAAGGTGGGCTGAGCCTCTCCGGTGCTTTTGGAGTGGATCATGATGGGTGCAGAGCAGCGTTGTGCAATGTGCTTACACAGCTACACATAACCCTGGACTGTTTTGACAAGTGCACAACTGTACTCCAGACGCCTCACTTTGCATATCACAGCTACACCAAGACCCTTGTCTGCCTATATCCCTAGACTAATACTAATAAAAGATATCACATCTACCCAGAGACCTTTGTTTGCACTTAAGGACAGGTTTATTCATTATGAGGAAGCCTCTGAGATGCAAGGTGAATATAAGCAATCCCCCGGTTCTAGCTAGTATACTGCAGCACACAGTGGGGAGGAGGGCACTGGTGCACCTGTGCACTGTGGAAGGCCAATGGAAAGGAAACGTGCAAGCCTTGCTCCTCTTAGACATCTGTGTCCTTCCTGAAAGCAGAAGGCCAGAGGATACAGCCCTTCCCTCCTCACAAAGTGCCTATGAACTACCAAACCTAGTGCCTATGCACCCCTGCACCCCGTGCTGCATTTCCTACCCTCTGCTTTTCTTTTTTTGGCACTGACATGCTATACTAATGGCATATGAACCCACAGAGACCCTGGTCCAGGTCTGGGTAGTGCAGATACATAAGAAAAATAGCCCTATCCCCTGAAATACTTTCAAATGACATGAGCAAGTTAGACATGAAAGAAAGCAGTGGCTTTGTTTCATAGATATGGGAGCAGATACAGAAAGTGGCTGACTTGCCCGTGGCTGTGCACAGAACATATTGCTGAGAATGGATTCGAAATCTCAGTGCCAAGCCACTATCCCAGTGAAGGGTCCTGCTCCCTTTCTCTTTCCCCTTAGGCTGAGGAAGTGCGGGAGTTATTCCTCCAGCTTTGGAAACAGTGAGAAATACGTACGGGGTCATTTTTCCCTAGCTGAATTCGGTAACGGGTGATGAAATTGGGCTTGCCGGTCACATCAGCCACCATATAGACTCCATTAACGCACCAAAACACAAGGAATGGGACCAGCAGCGTCCCTGTGGCAGAGAGAAGAAAAGAAGCAAGGGACAGGCGCTTATGAATAAATAGGAGTCTCGGGAGATCGGCAGTCATTTCCAGTGCAGTGCCATGCAGAGGACAGTGTCGTTTGAAAGCGACTCACCCGAAAAGTAAATGGCCTGTTCATTCCCACCAAAGAGGCGGTAAACTTTCTGCCATTGCGTCTGCCAGAAATGGTCTGCAGGCTCCCAGCTCTTCTGCCTGGCCCTGCGGGGAGAAATCCTCACAATCACACAACGTTCAACACGTTGTTATCAAAGTTGTGACCCCCATTTCCCCGCTCCCCAGTGAGATCCACGAAGCCACGGTGGTTGCATGGTCTTACCAGACGGCAGAATTGCTGAAGGCACCAAACAGGAGCAGGCTTGTGCCGATGATGAAGGCAGATGTCTTCATGGTGGCCAACACTTTCCCTTCCTATGAGCAAGGAACAATGTAAGCTCATCTCCGCTGCCATGGACTAGCCGTTCTGGTTTAGTTAATTGATACACATGCAAATGGAAGAGCTGGTCCTAGGATGCCAGGCCTCCGCCAAACCAGTCTGTCTGGGCTGGGGTTTTTCAATCCCTCCTGTTTCTAGCTAGTGTGTTGCTTGTCTGTTCATGTAAGCCACTCTGGACCTTTCCAGATGAGGTGGGATATAAGTCTAAGCAATAATAACAAGACACAAAACTAGGATTGCGCAGAAACTCCTTTCAGCTAGCCCAAGGGGTAGGGAAAAAATCAGTATTATATGAACACGCATCGCCTCCTGTCAGAAGGCATTCACTGCAGGAGCAGATATATAGCAGATTGATGAAGTTATGCCAAGTAAAAAATGGTATTTTAATAAGAAAACAAACACGTGCATCTGTAGCGAACCTGAGACTGAGGAGGAAACATGTCTATCATACTGTTAGCCATGAAGAATTCACTTATGGCTTATTCACTTAAGAATTCACTTATTCACTTAAGACAGGATGGATTAATTTAAATCACAAATTGGAAAGCTTCAGTTTAAACCCCTGATTTGAATCTTTTCCCTTTTTAATGCAGTTATTCTCTAACAAGAGGTGCCCTCTTAGTGGCAGATACAAACAGTACAGGTACAAGTTTGAAAACAACCAGAACCTTTATTTTACTTTGGTTGCAGTTGTTCTTGCTACCTACCCGCGTATACTGTAACTGGGTATTTATTCAAGCAATTATAAAGCTGAATATTTTCAAATTCTTATTAACTTTGCAAGTTCAGGGTGTTAGAAAATGGTGAAAGATATAGAGCTTCTTTACTAGATAATTAACCTGTTTCACAGTTTGTGTCAAGCAGCTGCCTTAGGATGGTAGTTGGAATTGAATGAACGATACAACAGCATGTCACACACTCTGTTTATTAAATATAGCCATAAACGTTCAGGATACACATCTCTTCTCAACATACCGTTCAAATTCACAACTAAATGGCTCATTAGACAGAGGGCTTCATCGTCAACAGTGAAGTAAACTGATTGTTGCAGGTTAGCTTGGGAAAATCAAATTGAGTTCTCACCTGTGAAGGAGTTCGGGGGAGTGAAGAAAACAGCCTTCCCTGGTGTTGAAAGCTGATTTAACACCTCCACTCACTCGGGTTCCCGGTGTTTTGCAAGTGACACCTGTCAGTTCAGGAGCGTGACTCTCATTGTTTGGCAAGCTTGTACAGCTCCGGCCGTTTACCGCCAGCCCCGAACTGTGGTATGGTGGGTGTGACTGTTAATGATTGTTATATGCCTCTGCCCTAATAAACGTGTCATCTTCCTGAGCAGCTAGGCACCTCCTCTGATTGAGACTGCTGACAAGAAAGAGAGCTGGCATAGGCACTTGAGCTACTTTCTCCTTTCATGTCTGCAATTTAGCTTTATTGGTGGGTAGGTCTTCCTTCCACATCTCTTGGAGTCCTTTCTACATTTCAGTTTGGCAGCAGCAGCTGTCTTTCAGTCATCTGCCCAAAGAAAGTGGTTCGGCCACATGCAACAGTTCTTCTGCATTTCTTTTTAATCCAACATAGAACTGGGACAAAGTAGTCAAATCTATTTTGTTATGATTGTTGTCACAAATCATCGTGAGCAAAGGAAAGGAAAGAGAGGTCCTTACTGGCTGAAGTCAGGCAGAAGGCAGGGGAGAGTTGCACCTCAGAGACTAACTGAATCAAGGCCCCCCCCACATGTTACACTTAAGAGAGGATTAATCAGTCATGTCTCATTGGGAGGAGATCTTAAGTTAAGTTGTCCTGGGCAAATATTGTTCTGCATCTTCATTCATGGTTTGGAGTATGGGATTGAGCACGTATTTCGCAGATTTGCTCATGACACCTATCTGACCGCAGTTGCAAACATTGTGGTGGGTAGGATTACAGTTCAGAATGACCTCAGTAAAATAGAGAAATGGTCCAACATGAATTGAATGAAATTTGATAGAGATATGTGCAATGTCCTGCATCGAGGATGCAACAACTGCATACAGACATACATGTAGGTCTTGACATGACCAATGCTATTTTGAGGCATGCCCAATACCATGAGCTGGATATAGGGCAAGCACAAAGCAGCTTGAGGGGATGACTGACCTGGGTGAACTATATGTGTCAAGGTGTTTTTTATCCTCCCCAAGAGGCATTGAGTGTTGGTTACAGCTAAGGCTGGGGATTGCAATGGGGCTGTGCCAATTCTCCTGCTAGCTGGAAGCTCCTGGCTAAAGGGTCTCCTCCACCCCACTCAGGCTCAGACCAACCCCCATAGTTGGGGGCAGAAAGGAATTTTACCCATGGCCAGATTGGTATGGACAGTGGAGGATTTTGCCTTGCTCTGTAGTGGAGGACATGGCCCTCTACCCAAGACCTCATGAGCATATATGGACAACGTTATAAGAAGCAGGACATTGCCTGCCATTGTTCCCCTGCTTTACCTGTGGCAGGTTAGGGTGTTAGGTCTATGTTGTGTCAGGGTGGAGGGGAGTTTAGATTTAGAGTTTAGATTATGATTGTATGGGATGGTTGGGAAAGGGATGATCTTTGCCTCAGGCAGGGTGTGGGATCAGATATTTAACCTCTGGAGGTCCCAACTTCTCTCTGACTTATATGACCTCCATAAGTGACATACCTAGCAATGAGAAAGTTGAAAGACAGAATGTGGGTAACAAAATAAGAGGGTGCTAGTTGCTGTGAGGGGGGTCATTGGCAAGAACCAGCAACAACACGGTAGGTGAAGGCTTGCCACCCACGGAAAAACATGCAGGAGAAGATTAACACTTGGGAAGCTAGGGAAGCCAAAGAAGCAAACAATGCTCAGCTGCTGTGATTGCAACCCCTGGGGTGCTGACCAGCTTAGTCATTGCATCATGTGGAAGGCCTACATAAGCAAATCTTTGTAAACTATTTGGAGTTTTGTGTTGGTATTGCTTAATTCATTTCATATTGCCTAATAAATTGTTTTGGTGTTGCTCAGTCCATTTGGGATTCAGGGCTGGAATAGCCCCACCATCACTTTGTTCCATCCATGTCACCCCTTACTCAAAATTCAGTACAACAGTACAGACCAGTGAATGACTGACTAGGCAGCAGTACTGCAGAAAAGGACATGGGGTTGTAGCACACCAGAAGCTGAATATTTGCTAAGAGTGTCCTATTGTTACAAAAACAGCCAATAACACATTAAACTGTATTAACAGGAGAGTCGTTTTCAAGTCAAGGAGAGCAATTGTTCCACTTTATTCAGCACTGGTAAGGCTTTATCTGGTGTACTGTGTCCAGTTTTAGGCATCACACTTCAAGAAAGATGTGGAAAAATTAGAAAGAGTCCAGGGGAGAGCAACAAAAATCATTAGGGGACTAGGAAATATGACAAAACTAAAGCCTGTAAGAACTGAGAGTATTTAGTCTGGAGAAGAGAAGACCTGACAACACCCTTCAAATATCTGCACCCATTGTTGGTAGAAGACAGCAAGCCTGCCCTCTTGTCACATAATACCAGATCATTGTGTACCATTTATCATCCATCAGACTCAGATTAATGCTCTTCCTGTCAGTGTTTCTGCACACTTTTCAACTTCCTTCTCATCTATTGTACCCAGCAAACTTACAGCAATGCCTGCTTTATCAGGTGGAGTGCAGCCTGGCGGTAGTGACTGAACCGTGTCAATGAAATGTTTGTTTTAGACAAGACAAATGGGAGGATTTGTTGTATAAATGAACCGACCAGTCTTTTCATCTGTGGAGTCTTCCTGCAATCTGCCTGTCCTGATTACAAATTCATCCCGGGTTTTACTGGAAGGCAAAGGAAGTCTTTTATTTTTATACAGGCAATTTGCTGTCTGACACGTTTAGTTGCAGCACTGCTAATGGTACCAGCAGGTGACTCCAAAGTGGTGGACCCTGTAGATGACGGATGCACATAATTATACTTTGAAGTCTAAACTAGAACTTCAAACAAAATGGTAAAAAAAAAAAAAAGAAGCAATTGTTACTCTTTGGGTATGTCTACATGTGCGCATTTACTGCACAGTAACCAAAATTACTGTGGAGTATGGACGCATGTCTACACGTGCATGCCTGTACTGTGCAGTAAATATGGCAATTTACACCAACTTGAGTGTAAATTCGATACCTGCATTATGCAGTTATCAAATGTATGCCTGATTAGTTACCACACAGTAATACATATGTAGCTAGCTGCCTTACTGTGCAGTAACACTGGGTGTGTCTATGTGTGCATTTATGCCAGCTTAAATTTACTGCTCAGTAAATTACTGTGGAGTAAGCAGAAATAGGCCAGCATCTACACATACAGGCATTAAAGTGCGGTAAGGCTGTGTGTGGTCTGACTTGGGACTGAAGTGAGTTTCAAGTCAGTCCACACACACACTGTTACTGAGTAGTAAGGCATCTATACATGCATTGCTGTACAGTAACTAATCAGGCATAAATTTGACATCTGCATGATAAAGGTATCAACTTTACACTCAAGTCAGCGTAGGTCGCCATATTTACTGTGCAGTATGGGCACGCACGTGTAAATGCGCACCTGTACCGTGCAGCAATTTTGGTTACTGCACAGTAAATGCAGACATGTAGACATGCCTACTGTGTATGTGGACTGACTTGGGTCTAATTTTAGTCCCAAGTCAGTCCACACACAGTGTTAATGCACTTTAACACCTGCACGTGTAGACACCAGCCTATTCTCACTTACTGCAAAGTAATTTACTGTGCAGTAAATTTACGATGGAGTAAATGCCTGTGTAGACATACCCACATGTCCACTGTGTCTTATTCAGGGCACTGCTTTAAAAAAAAAAAAAGATTGTAAATGGAAAGGTCCTTTTACTGCAGCTAGTTGTACTTGGCCAACTGTTTAAATCTAATTTATTCCAAACACAGTTTTAAAGGGAAAATAACTAATAAATCATAAGGATTACCTAAATCTACTCAA